CACCAAAGCTGAATAAAGGGGAATAAAACCTTACTTCGCTTGCCTTTCATACACCTTTCCGTTTCCCCTCTTCTTTCCTTATCTCTCCTTTAAGCTACTCCCTTCCCAATTTAACTTTTGTCAAAGAGTATTTCAAAAGCACCTCCACAACCACTCCATCCCACCCCAAAGGCATGACACTAACATGCCATTTGGGAACCATCATTTGCCCATGTGTTACATCCCTTTCCTATCCTAGACAGGCCGGTGCTGACCCAAAGGGTCTGCTACTTTGAGGGAATCCTTGGCTGCCTCTTTAGATTAATAAATGTTGAGTGCCAGAAGGGATCACTGTGGCTCTGAAGTTCTGACCTCTAGCACAACATGGGCTGGAAACTCGCAGCCAGATTCCTTGTTTCAAGCCCATACCTTGTGGCTGAGCTAGTGATATCCAACTGTCTCAATTTAAATACTCCCAGGGCTGGAGAATCCATCACGTGCTTTGGGAAATTGTTCCACACATTGATTCTTTACAAGGTTAAAACGTGTGTGCTTTCGTTCTGGACTCAATTTACCTCCTTTGAAAAAAATTCTGCTCCCATAAGTGGATGGTGCTTGGGAAAGGCCTGACATGTTGCCATGCCCCATCCCAGTTTGATCCATGGAACCAAAACACCAGAGGCAAAACAGGAGGGGATCCTTAGCATGTATTTGAGCCCTGCAGCGGGAGTCCCAAATTTCCAGGGAGAGCATCAAAGTCTCTCAACCAGCCTGTTGTGTCTATGTCTTGATCCAAGTTTCTCCACGGTGTATCTGAACCCATCCCAGTAGCGTCAATTCTTGTGACTTTATCATACAAAATTGGGTGTTGTCAAAGCCCCAACTCCTTGAATCAGGTGACAAGGTGAGACTCTGCTTTCATTTGAAATAGAAATTCAGTTTTTAGGTCTTGGGGTTGCCAAGCCTTTTGGGGTCTTGAAAAGTGACCCCAAAAGACTCAATAAACTCAGGATATGTCTACACTACAAAGTTAATTTGAACTAACGGATGTTAGTTGGAATTAACTTTGATAGGCGCTACACTAGCGCTTCGCTAGTTCGAACTTAATTCGAACTAGCGGAGCGCTTAGTTCGAACTAGGTAAACCTCATTCTACGAGGACTAAGCCTAGTTCGAACTTACTAGTTCGAATTAAGGGGCTACACACCTCTTAATTCGAACTAGCGGAGCGCTTAGTTCGAACTAGGTAAACCTCATTCTACGAGGACTAAGCCTAGTTCGAACTTACTAGTTCGAATTAAGGGGCTACACACCTCTTAATTCGAACTAGCGGAGCGCTTAGTTCGAACTAGGTAAACCTCATTCTACGAGGACTAAGCCTAGTTCGAACTTACTAGTTCGAATTAAGGGGCTACACACCTCTTAATTCGAACTAGCGGAGCGCTTAGTTCGAACTAGGTAAACCTCATTCTACGAGGACTAAGCCTAGTTCGAACTTACTAGTTCGAATTAAGGGGCTACACACCTCTTAATTCGAACTAGCGGAGCGCTTAGTTCGAACTAGGTAAACCTCATTCTACGAGGACTAAGCCTAGTTCGAACTTACTAGTTCGAATTAAGGGGCTACACACCTCTTAATTCGAACTAGCGGAGCGCTTAGTTCGAACTAGGTAAACCTCATTCTACGAGGACTAAGCCTAGTTCGAACTTACTAGTTCGAATTAAGGGGCTACACACCTCTTAATTCGAACTAGCGGAGCGCTTAGTTCGAACTAGGTAAACCTCATTCTACGAGGACTAAGCCTAGTTCGAACTTACTAGTTCGAATTAAGGGGCTACACACCTCTTAATTCGAACTAGCGGAGCGCTTAGTTCGAACTAGGTAAACCTCATTCTACGAGGACTAAGCCTAGTTCGAACTTACTAGTTCGAATTAAGGGGCTACACACCTCTTAATTCGAACTAGCGGAGCGCTTAGTTCGAACTAGGTAAACCTCATTCTACGAGGACTAAGCCTAGTTCGAACTTACTAGTTCGAATTAAGGGGCTACACACCTCTTAATTCGAACTAGCGGAGCGCTTAGTTCGAACTAGGTAAACCTCATTCTACGAGGACTAAGCCTAGTTCGAACTTACTAGTTCGAATTAAGGGGCTACACACCTCTTAATTCGAACTAGCGGAGCGCTTAGTTCGAACTAGGTAAACCTCATTCTACGAGGACTAAGCCTAGTTCGAACTTACTAGTTCGAATTAAGGGGCTACACACCTCTTAATTCGAACTAGCGGAGCGCTTAGTTCGAACTAGGTAAACCTCATTCTACGAGGACTAAGCCTAGTTCGAACTTACTAGTTCGAATTAAGGGGCTACACACCTCTTAATTCGAACTAGCGGAGCGCTTAGTTCGAACTAGGTAAACCTCATTCTACGAGGACTAAGCCTAGTTCGAACTTACTAGTTCGAATTAAGGGGCTACACACCTCTTAATTCGAACTAGCGGAGCGCTTAGTTCGAACTAGGTAAACCTCATTCTACGAGGACTAAGCCTAGTTCGAACTTACTAGTTCGAATTAAGGGGCTACACACCTCTTAATTCGAACTAGCGGAGCGCTTAGTTCGAACTAGGTAAACCTCATTCTACGAGGACTAAGCCTAGTTCGAACTTACTAGTTCGAATTAAGGGGCTACACACCTCTTAATTCGAACTAGCGGAGCGCTTAGTTCGAACTAGGTAAACCTCATTCTACGAGGACTAAGCCTAGTTCGAACTTACTAGTTCGAATTAAGGGGCTACACACCTCTTAATTCGAACTAGCGGAGCGCTTAGTTCGAACTAGGTAAACCTCATTCTACGAGGACTAAGCCTAGTTCGAACTTACTAGTTCGAATTAAGGGGCTACACACCTCTTAATTCGAACTAGCGGAGCGCTTAGTTCGAACTAGGTAAACCTCATTCTACGAGGACTAAGCCTAGTTCGAACTTACTAGTTCGAATTAAGGGGCTACACACCTCTTAATTCGAACTAGCGGAGCGCTTAGTTCGAACTAGGTAAACCTCATTCTACGAGGACTAAGCCTAGTTCGAACTTACTAGTTCGAATTAAGGGGCTACACACCTCTTAATTCGAACTAGCGGAGCGCTTAGTTCGAACTAGGTAAACCTCATTCTACGAGGACTAAGCCTAGTTCGAACTTACTAGTTCGAATTAAGGGGCTACACACCTCTTAATTCGAACTAGCGGAGCGCTTAGTTCGAACTAGGTAAACCTCATTCTACGAGGACTAAGCCTAGTTCGAACTTACTAGTTCGAATTAAGGGGCTACACACCTCTTAATTCGAACTAGCGGAGCGCTTAGTTCGAACTAGGTAAACCTCATTCTACGAGGACTAAGCCTAGTTCGAACTTACTAGTTCGAATTAAGGGGCTACACACCTCTTAATTCGAACTAGCGGAGCGCTTAGTTCGAACTAGGTAAACCTCATTCTACGAGGACTAAGCCTAGTTCGAACTTACTAGTTCGAATTAAGGGGCTACACACCTCTTAATTCGAACTAGCGGAGCGCTTAGTTCGAACTAGGTAAACCTCATTCTACGAGGACTAAGCCTAGTTCGAACTTACTAGTTCGAATTAAGTTCGAACTAGCGAAGCGCTAGTGTAGCGCCTATCAAAGTTAATTCCAACTAACATCCGTTAGTTCAAATTAACTTTGTAGTGTAGACATACCCTCAGAGACTCAGCTGAGGCATCCCCTTCCTTCTTTGAAGGGTAAAGTTTTTGTCTGTTTACGTCTTGGAGGGTGGATGGCGAGAGGACAGAAAAAAGGAGGTCCATGCTATACCTCAGGGAGGGGCAACAGGGTAACGTGACGTCATTCTTCATAGGAAATTCTAGAGGAAGCTAGTGACAGTTGCAGCTGAACACGATATCAAGAAACCTCTGAACTCGGACTGGAGAAAATGAGCTTATCGTGGTTCTGGGGATTTGCAGTTGTCTTTTGCAATGCAGCAGGTAAGTCTGTTTTGAAGTTTAATTATATTTATTTGACAGAAATGGTTGGACAAAGGTAGGACTGGAAAACTGTGTTTGATGGAAGGCTCTGAATGTGACAGTTTGTGCCATGAAGCAAGGCGTTGCAAGTTTCATCATCCTGCCCTGCTAATGATCCTGTTCTCTTTGACTTTGATAGAGCAGGAGTAAGGCTTTTGTGTCTCTATGTACTACACTGATATTCAGTGGCTTCAGTCCAAAATCTGCATGTACCTATTTTATGTACTGCCCTCTTCCACCCTCATTGATCATTCTTCAGGAACAGTGGTTATGTCCAGCAGCATGGACTTACTATCTGCCACCTTGAGCAGGGCAGGCCACATGTAATCAATAATTAGATCCACAGAAAGTTTTACCCCCAGAAATTTATGGAATCACCAAAATCAGCAGCTCCCCTGTAACATGTTTTAGTTCTGGAAACTCTGCACCCATAAGAAATATATGTACTAAAATTGGTTCTACGTCTGTTGCCTTCCTAATAAAGACGCTGGAAGTGAGTACGCCACTTTTAAGTAACTTGACAAGAAGGTTGTTATTTGTGATTGTGAATTTGTAGTTTTATTTTAGATAATCATAGAAGTGTGTTTTTTCTCCCATTCACAGTGGTGTAAATCAGGAGTGACTCCACTTTAGTCAGTTAATTACATAAGAGTAACACTGGCATAAAGAAAACCAGGTCCCTTAAGTCCTTTGTGTTAACTCTGAAAATCAAAAGGCTATTGTTTGTTTCAAACTTATTTCAGGGACCGAATTGCTAAATGCACCTCCTCCATGTTGCTAACTGCTAAGTTTAATTCTCCCCAGCTGAGCCATGCAGCAAGCAGTTTAAATTGTTCTGACCAATGCATGTGAACTCACTAGCTGCTACTCCTGCCTGGCTGGTGTGTCTCCCACTTTTGTAGCTGTGCCACCCACTTCCAAACCTTTTGGCAGAATAAAGCACCGGCCTGTACCACCTTGGCCCCTAGCAAACTGGCCCATAGTTCTGGGATGTTCCTGTCAGACTCCCTGGTTCCCCACTGTGCACTTGTCCCAGTCCTGCTCCAGAATACAGTACTTTGCCCCAGTGAGCAGCAGCCCTGCTCCTTAATTCCACGTTCCCTGCCTGTTTCCCTTCCCTACATGCCTCACCCCAGTTTGGCCATTTCCTCTTGCGTTTACATGTGAATTCAAGTGAATGGGGGAGTGGAGGAAACTTTTCACTTTGGAACTGGGATAGAGGGAGTGCTGGGGGAATGGAATTAGGGAGCTGGCTTCCAAATGGGGCCAGAGGATGGAGATCTGCAGAAGGGCTGGAATCAGTGTGCATTAAGCAACAGGGAGTCAACAGAAAGCTCCACTGCTTCTCTCCAGATTAACCCCCGGTTCCAAGCCTGACCACCATCTTAATCTATAGTCCTCAGGGTGCCAGTTCCAGTCATTCTGAGCCTGGTGCATTAGACATGAGTTTCCTCTGACAAACCACAGGAGATCTGTCAGAAGGAGCAGCTGTTTCCACAGGAACTTTTACTACCGGTTTCTTGGAAGTTTGCCTTTATGCCCCTCCTCTCCCAGTTCCAAAGTGAAAATAATCAGCATAGCGGTATTGTGCAAGAGGGTTTTTCTTGCGCAAGAAGGGGCAGTGTAGACGGCTCCTTCTTGCGCAAGAGCCTCGTCCTCAAAAATGGTGACTCATTATATATGCAAATGAGGCTCAGCAATATTCCACGCATAGCCTCATTTGCATAGCTCTGGCGCAAGATCGCGCCAGTGTAGACATAGCCATAGATGGTATCATGAGCTTTCATGGGTGCAGCCCACTTCTCCAGATGACTAGAGTATCATCTGAGGAAGTGGGTTATTCCCATGAAAGCTCATGATCCCATCTATATGTTTTGTTAGTCTTTAAGGTGTTACTAGACTATAATTTGTCTAAGTAATGTTTAACTTTTTGTTTGCTTCTTTTAGCCTTAGATCCTACCTCATTTTCACTGGCATTTAGCATATTAGATGTCCAGTTGCTACTATTACACTCACTAGGTTTTAACTTCCAAACTTTAAAGGTTTCCCTTTTGCCACTAACAGCAAAAATGAAAGCCCGGTCTCTGGATTGGTCATATTGCTCTATCACAAGGCTTATTTTCTTCTTTCAAAAATAAAAGGGATAGCAATATAGAAAGCCAAGGGGAATTAAGGAAGAAATTAGTTATGGCTTGTAATTTGTTATTTTGGAAAACAACCATGAGTGTATATTGTGAACTGCAGAGACCTTTAGATACTTCAAAATAACCCCTGACACATTTTTGTACATTTTTATACAACACACAATTAGCCCTGGGGAACTCCTTGCCATATGACATCACTGAGGCAATGCACTTAAGTGAGGTCAGAAAGTACTTGATATTTATATGGATAACAAAAACCTCTGGGGTTAGTGACAGACCACAGTCTGCAAACTGCAAAACTCTTATAGAAGGCAGCCATATTGGGAGATGGGTTAATGCTTTCTTGTTTCCAAATTAACCTCACCTGAACACAGCCCAGCAGCCAGTAGAAAATAGAGGCCTAATTAGGAGGCAGTTTTGCAGCTGGGGTTAATTAAGCACCTGCAGCCAATTAAAGCCTCTCAGTTCCTATACAGTTGCCAGATGGTTGAAACAAAAATACCAAACACCTCACTTCCCCTCCAAAAAAACACCAGGGGAAAATTCTGTTGAAGGAAAAGAAAAGGGGTGGGGGGAACCAAAGTTGTTGAGAAAAAAAAATTAAAATAAAACAGCATGTCCCCTTTAAGCACGAGTGCAGGGATAGGAACAGGGGAGCTGCTGAGCACTAAGACCCAGCTTCCCCTTGGTTGGCAGCCATTTTGTGCCGGCAGCCTTGCGGAACCAGGTAAGGGTCAGAGGGCTAGGGGTGTTGGGAGCCGGGAAGCCGGGCACTGAGGCAGTGTCTACATTGGCACGATTTTGCAACAAAGCAACCGCTTTTGCGCAAAAACATGCTTCCTGTCTACACTGGCGGGGAGTTCTTGCGCAAGAACAGTGACGTTCTAATGTGTGAAATCAGGGCTTCTTGCGCAAGAACTATGATGCTCCTGCTCAGAAATAAACCCTCTTGGGCAACTCTTCTTGCGCAAGAGGCCAGTGTAGACAGGCAACGTGAATTTCTTGCGCAAGAAAGCTCGATGGCTAAAATGGATCGGAGCTTTCTTGTGTAAGAGAGTGTCTACACTGGCACGGATGCTCTTGCGCAAATGCACATGCCAGTGTAGACGTTCTCTTGCGCAAATACTTTAATGCAAGAACTCTTGCGTTAAAGAGTATTTGCACAAGATCATGCCAATGTAGACATAGCCTGAGTGTATGTAGGGTTGCTAGGTGCCTGGCATTTTCGCCTCCTGGCCAGGGAAAAATCAGAAAATACCAGACATTTTAGGTGTCCGATATTCTCCAAATTTTTTTACCAGACAGGAGCCGAAAATACCGGACTGTCTGGGTGAATACAGGACACCTGGCAACCCTAGGTTTCTATAAAAGGATTCCTCCCAAGCAGCAGGGGGGGAGTTTTCGGAAGGCACGCAGAGCCCAGCTGAGCCAAGGCTGAACCCCAAGGATTGGCCTGTGATGAGAATGACTCGGTAAGCGGAGACCCTTGCCTCTAGGGAAATCCCAGGGCAACAAAGGGGGCTCTGTGAGTCTCTGAGGCTCCCAAGTAACTGCCAAGAAGCGCAGAACCCCAAGGAGCTACCAAGGGACTTTGTCACCGGTTGTAGTAGCAAGGAGTAGCAAAACTAAGAGGTTTGGGACAGGTTTTTAATAGGTTTGGGATGGGTTATACATACTCATGCTATAGAGCTTAAACCAACCTCTAACTAATAGAATCAGCTGGGAATTTTCCTTGTGCAGCAAGTTATTCCATGACTCCTACTGCAGGTTTGTTGCAGGAGGCGGTTGCCATTGTTGGAGATGGGATACTGGGATAGATGGACTCCTGGTCTGATCCCATTTGGCAGAGGGGAGAGAACCCTAAAAGACTCCTTAGGACAGCAGTTTGCTGTGCCTTTGGCTGCTGGTTTAGTTCAGCAATTGACAGTCCCTGTAGCAAGGGGAGCTAGGAGAAGCATGTGTGTTGTGTCATGTCATGTCATGTCATGTCATGTCCTCTCCTCCCCTGCCCTGCCCTGCCCTGCGACGCGACGTGGCTGAGAAGGCTTAAATAAGGAACTGAACTGCATAATTAATTGTTTTACCCCTTACCCCCTGGTTCTCAGCTTCATGAAGTGTGTGAGTGTGTGTGTGGGGAGAGAGGGATGTTGCAGTGCATATGAGATATGCCAGGTGTGGCCACTTTGAGGGTGAGTTTAAGTGGGGTGGGCATAAATGGGGGTGTCTAAATGAGAGGTGAGACACGAGGAAGAGAGGGTAGTTTTTGTGGGGAGGGGAGAGGGTGGGAGGCTGGAAATGTGGCAGAAGGCAGGTGTGTGGAATCATTTCAAAGTGTGAAGTTCCATGACTGGCACTGGCTGCCTGTTGGTTGCAGAGGGGGAATGGGTTTTGACCATGAAAGCTGCCTGGATCCAATTTTCAGCTGTGCCTTTGACCATGGTGCCCGCAGGGAGCTATTCTTCCATTGTCTCTCTGCCCATCCCTTCTACCCCAGGATCCAGCATTGCATGGTCTGGGTCCATGCAGGTGAAAGGAAGGAGCTGGGCTAGCTAGAGGGATGGGAGGCAGGGCCCGCGGGGTGCTGGGTGTAGACATACTTATTCCCTCTGCAGCAACAGGGCTAATATAGTCCTGCACCTGTAGACGCTCCAGCTGCTCACCAGTCCTGGGACCAGAGGGGCTCATTAGTGCCCACAGCTGCTGCAGGGGAGGGACAGGGCAGTCTTAGGGCACAGAGGTTCGCTCACGGATCCGTGCCAGCTTTGGCGATGACTTTTCCGTGTGCTTAGAGGCAAACTCTGTGCCCCCAACCAGTGA